TTTTAAAAAAACACTAAAACAAAAAAAAAAAAAAAAAAAAAAAAAAAAATATTCATAATACTGCCACCATTGGAAAGAAGTTTATTTCTGCATGGAAATAAAATTTTCACAGAAATTTCTCATTTTTCTAGCTTCAGTAGGAAAATTAGTAGCCTTATTTGCTTCATATTTAGAAAATGTGTCATGCAAAATATCAACAAATCAACAGCTACCTATAAGGATCACTAATATTTACTCTTCCAACGCATAACATTTATGAGGAATCATTGAATCATTAACATCTTACGAGGTTCAAATTATCAATACCGATTTGGTAGTTAGTGTGTACTTAACTAAGAAATATAAACATTGTAAAGACCAAATAACTAATAAGTAATTTATACTTGAAAAAAAACTTACAGAGTATTTGTTAGAACCTATTTGCCTCTCGAACACACGAAAGAAGTACAGCAGATAAATTCCGACAACAAGTTCCGGTGTAGATGAAAAGGCAAAAACTGGCACTATCAACTTCCATATTTGTAGTTGCTTGAAAATATCCTGTCATGAGTTTAAAAATACATTTAAAATGCATTGAAACAGTAAATCCAAAGAGTAAAATAACTATTCAACAAATCTAAAAAGTTGTGATAACTATTCAATATATCTAAAAAGCTGTAATTCTAATAGAGCCAAAATGAAGGAGATGGACATAGAATTACTTTTGTCTTTCTCTTTCTATAACATTTTACTAATATTTAAATAAAAACTGCAAAAGTAGAATATTGAAAAAAGAAACTGTTATATGGGCCAATGCATCAGAGAAACAAGAAGGCCAAGTTTCTGTGCAAGCTTCAAAAATATCTCAATTGTTCATCAATTATTCTTACAACCACCATTTGGACACAGATATAGAAAATATCATCTTGCAGCTTATTTTAAAACTTATTTTCAAACGTCAAAACCACTCACTGCCTTAAAATTGGTACACAAAACACAGATGATGGGCTTTACTGCAGCATGTGTAGACTCTATATAGTGTTCTTCATATTAAGTCTAATTCTTGTGTTAACCAACGGATCTACTTTCAACAGATTATGCTAAAATAACTCATATAAAAATAAAGGGACTAAAGAACTCTCTAGGTCTCATCTCATCTCATCTCATCTCTTGTAGGTATAGGATCGATACTGTTAAAAGTATTTATGCGTGGATCAAGATTCGACAGTAATTCGCAGGAACAACTATATACTCGATGAAAAAAATGACGACAGGAGTGATGAAGCAAATGTCAGTAAAACAGCTTCAGATAGGAAACTTTCACAAAGACCAGATATAGAGTAGCAGGCATTTATTTTTGAAGTCTAGTCATCCATGTATAGCAACATTTTACAGTTCTATGCAGCACAATTAGGAACAAAAATATATGCAAAAAAAACACAAGCATTTACACACAGAACTGTTAAAATACAAAAATTAATAGTCATTCAAACATAATCATATATAAGCAAGCAAAAGAAAAATCTTTAGTCAACAGAAATCCAGATATGCTACAGAACACCACCACACAGGAAAAACTAAAATTCAGCAGAATCTACTTTAAAGTTAAATAGCAATTTAAAATAAATTAAGCATGCAACTGAGAATAACATTAACAACAACAAAGGGGGGGGGGGGGGGGGGGGGGGGGACGGTATATCAATTAAACAGAAACAGCCAATCAAAAATTCTAGTCATAACTATAAAATTAAACAATAAATACGAAAAGGGGTATAAGGAAATTCAAAAACAAAAATATTGCAGATCAAAAAACCCAGCAGAAATAGTACCTGATAAGACCAACCAAGCTTACCAGAGCGACCTCGGATCCCAAAGAGAACGGTGAAGAGAACACTTGTTATTACTACTGTTCTTGTCACCGGCGCATTGTCTATCAATTTTTTAATTTATACACCATAAAAATAAATTAAAAATCAAATAAATTAACCAATATATGGGAAAAAAAATCGAGGTGGAATGAAAAGAAACATACTGAAACCAGACGGGCCGCCGTTCATCTTCCAAGTGAACCAACGACTTCTTATTTATGTAAGAAAATACTCTGTGCCTATATTGTATGTATGCTATATGTATCTACAAGTCGTCACGCCTTCTACAAGTCGTCACGCCTTTTTCTTTTAAGCTGGACTGTTAGAGCAACTCTGTAATTTTAAATAGAATATTCTATCCAATTTAGAGAATAAAAATTTTGAAGAGCTCCAATCGACTTTTTATATTTATCAATTAATTTTACTACTTTCAACAAATATTTTTTTTTTTTTTATCTTTTATTTTAATTAATTTTTTTAAATTATTATATTTTTTTCTATATTGAAAATTGAAATATTTTGAATGTATTTGATTATAAAGAACGACTCTCTAAATTAAAATATTAATTTAAAAATTTTCTTGGAACATAATTTTAAGAGTTAACTCTTTAAAAAAATAGTGCATTTCACGTTTAAAAAATTATCTTAGAGATGCTCTTATGTCCATATTTCTAACTGTGTACTCCTAAAACGAATTTGGGCTACTTCCAGCCAGAAATAATGGAGGATTGATTCAAACATGAGGGTCCTAACCTAACGATGATGACAATCATTAATAACCAAGCATGAACAAGTTCCATGTAGGTTACTAATTTTCCATCTTTTCTTTTGGTATGATTGAACTTCAAGTGCCCAGCTTGACGATGACAAAACCGTCAATTGTCCAACTTGAAATTGGCTTGGTATTAGGGGGGTACTTTTAATTTTGACCCGGTCAAAGGAGCAAAATTTCAGTTTGACTTTCAAAATAATGAATATTATGACATTGGCCTCTTGTATGGTAAAAAACAAAGATACCCTAAATGTTTTGTACAATTACAAAATCATATATTGTTGAAAGGACTATACTACCCTTTTACTTAATAATTGAAAACCAAACATTTCCCCCACTTATAAAAACTTCAAAATGAGCTTCCAACAAAGAAAAAACTCTTATCTTTTCATCTGCTTGAACCTCAAAATCTAGAAGAACTTTGGAACGTTGAAACTGAAAATTTTTTTCACATCAATTACTTCAAATAGGTAAGTACATTTAATCATGTTTAATTTCGTTTAAAGTAAATTAGTATACGTTAAATAGAGAAATTTTATGTCGACATAGATTTTTTTTAACAGAATCTATAAAAAAAAAATTAAACAGATGTATAACTTACGTTTAAATTACGCATGCTTAATTTCGTTTTTAGAACGGCATTCTCCTACGCCAAACAGGTTTAACTTAACAAACAGTCGGAAATAGTTTGAAACAACCGGCTGTTGGATGTTTAACAGCCGGAAAACAGCCGGCTGTTAAACATCCAACAAACAGCCGAACAGTCGGGTGTTAAACAGCCGGCTGTTCGGCTGTTTAACAGCTTTCGCTGCAACTGATTTTTTTCCTTCTTCTTTCTTATAATTAATATTTGAAGTTGATTAAAATCATTTCCTCATGCAGATATGATAATTCCCGTGTGTTATTTCGGTGATTTCGAATTGAATGAAAATAATCGGTGGGAATGGAGATGGACGAGTGACATACGTGGTTGTATTGCAATTTCCGTAACAGAGAGTACACCATATTTAGAAATGTACCACGATTTGCAAAATAAGCTGAATGTCGATCAATCTCAATACGATATGCAATTGAGATATCTATTCAATGGTTATGGGGATTCATCCATTCCGATGCCACCGGTATTCGTTACTAATGATGCTGAATTGAATTATCTATTAGAATTGAATAAAATGCATCGGACTCCGACTGTTCTTGGTGTGACTTTAATTATGAAGGATGTTATCGAAGGTGAACGTGAAGATTCGGATAGAGCGGATAACAATGATCGAGATTTTTGGGAGACAGTAGAGATAGTTCCTGCGGATGATGTGGGTATTCCTAAGACAGTTGCTTCTGATCGTGATGTCGCTGTTACGCGCAGAATTCCGTCAACAGTTGAAGACAATGAGAACATAAACGACTTTACAAATGAGAATTTGATTGCTTTATTCCGACAGAGACACGAGCCTGGTGGGAGCTCACAGGTTGGAACAAGTGGACCGTCCTCGAATTTTTCCCGTGTGGCTCCCGATGATGAGGACTTGCAGGTCGGGCAACTGTTTGAAACCAAGAAAGATTTGCAGGAAGCTGTGCATCGACTGACATTAAAATATAACTTTGAGTTCAAGGTAAAGAAATCAAACAAGTCATTGTTGACAGTTGCTTGCGTCGAAGACAGTTGCAATTGACGCTTGAGAGCAACTAAGATGGACACGAATGAGTGCTTCGTAATTCGCAAGTATTTACGGGAACATACTTGCGAAGTGGGAATTCTTCGAAACGATCACAGGCAAGTTCGAGCATGGTTTATTGGTCGACAAATAATGCACAAGTATCAGGTGGTCGACAGATAACGTTGTGCTCTTTGTATTATACGACTGAGTCTTGGAGAACAGCTATTGCCGAGACAATATTTCCTCTGCCGAATGAAGCCGAGTGGGAAGTTCCCGAGCACATTCTCCCATTTCATAATTTGTTACCACCAGCAGTTGAACCGCGTGGTCCTGAACGTCCAAGTACATCTAGAATACCATCTACCGGAGAGTTTCCTCGACTGCGTAGGTGTGGCCGGTGCAGAGCCGTAAGGCATACTCGACAATTTTGTACCGGTCAAATTCCCCTAAATGACGACTAGATAGGTACGTGAAATGAATAATATTTCCTTTTACTATACACTGTTCAATATTTGTTATTTATAAATCTTCAATATACAAAAAATAGTTCCGCACTCGTCATACGGGTAAAATAACAAAAAATAATTAAATTTCCAATTTGAATGTTATATTACATTGAACACAAATTTACAATTATTTCAGAATTACCAAAATAATGAAATTTCCAATTTGAATGTTATATACATTGAACACAAATTTACAATTATTTCAAAATAACAAAAAATAATGAAATTTCCAATTTGAATGTTATATACATTGAACACAAATTTACAATTATTTCATAATTATAAAAATAATTAAATTTACAATTGAAATGTTACATATGTATAACTGAAATTTATGGGTCAGCATTAAATTCGAACAAATCACATGCTAGCTTCTTTCTCCAGTTTTGTATCCACGACTGGTTGATTTCATCAACCTTATGTCCTATACTTAAAAATCCAACGTACTTAATGGCAAATATGCCACAGTCGCCGCTGCAATTGAACAAGAATGAATCAGTTTAGTACTATGTAAATAAAAACTAAATCTGAAAGATGAAAACAACAACGTTCAAACACTGTCGCGCTGTCGTCGTGTTCCGAACGATCCGCAATCTATCCCGTACATTTATCCCCATTCGTCTGGCCATCATAGGAACAATGACAGCCACGGACTCCAGATTTTGCTCCAACTGGCCTTGTGTCAAACATGAATGATATGGGTCGTACACATATATAGTCGAGTCAGCAAAAACGATCTCCAGCGTAACATAGTGTTTATTGATGCACGCTGGAATGTACATATGTGTACAACCCTCCCATGATTTTTCCCTGACACTTGGTGACAGTCCTATCACCCACTCAAGCATATATTCTGGCACCGTGTACTCGTTACCCATATGTGCGAGCGACTGATACTCTATGGTAACGGCACCCAGGAACTCGGTGTTTAATATGACTCGACCATGGACATCAAATGATTTTGGATGTCTTTGAGCTCGATCTCGCAGCAAGTCCATGGTCAGGTCGATGTGCTGCAGCAGGAAACACCGAAAAAGTATAAGTTATTCATTTAATAAACACAAGGTCACATATACATAAAAAACACGAAATGAATAGTTCACTTACATCGTCGGCGAGCCAAGCTCCCGCAGTGGTGATATCGTGGAACCACTTGTAAGGGTCCGAGATCGTCCTTTGTCCTATCGTGCGGCTAGCTCTGTAAAAAAGAGGGAAATATTAAAATAAGCATAGATGAGTTAGCGTACAGTGCTTTATTAAAATCATACAATACTTACCCGGGGATAATTCTCCTCTACTTTGTCTCGAACGCTTTCCACTTGGCATTGTCCACATCTTTGAATAAGTTCGGGTACGTCCCATCGATGAACGTCCTCCTCTTGGCCTCAGCCGTGAAGGGGGAAACAACATACTGTGACGGCACTCTCAATCTCTTGCCGACCACCTGCTCCGTCTCATCAACAGCATGTCTCTTACCCTCAATCACGCCGGGCGTCCTCTCGACCTCCGGGGCCACCTCCTCCGTAGTCCCCTCTCCCATCCCCATCGGGGCCACCCCCTCCATAGACAACCACAAGGACTCCAATGTCTCATCACGCTAAAAATGTGGGTAACCTCCCTCTCCATCACCATATCTGCCACCCTCTCGATCATGGTCTCCGCCATCCCCTCTGTCCCCCCATCATCTGCCGGCTAAATCTCCTCTAAGCGCCGCTACTGTATCCTGAAGGTCGACAACGGAAGACTGTAGTATTCTAACATCATGGGATAGATCGTCAACCCTCCCTGTCAACTCTCGTCCCAGATCATCAACCCTCTCCGTCAAATCTCGTCGTAGCGCGCCGATCTCCTCCGCTATAAATCCAGTCAAACGGGCATACAAATCATCACTGTGCCCCGGAGACACACGGGGGAGGTGTCTGGACGGAGGTGATGCCAATGGTGGCAGCGTGTCTCCCCTCGCTGTGCAAAGCGGGCCCCCAGTACAGGAACTGTCTCATACACTCAAATCTGTAACACATACACTTATTAAGTATCAATGTAATACACTAAAACTTTAACTTTGATTATATTAAATATTTACCTGCACTGCTAACAGCAATCCATATGTATCGTATTTACGCATCGACCCCCTGGGCCTCGAGTGCGATCTGGTGAACACATGTACGATGTCTTCATAGCATCTTCGGCCCCACGGATAGTTGTTGAACGCATCGATGTCGTCAACAACTTGCAAATGAAAAATGTCGATGGCAGTCTTCTTGTGATGACACCTCATCACACTCTCGAGGATGTAGACCAGCCCAAACTTCAATCTATCTAGCATATGGTCGCACCCCCTGATCGCGACCATCAAGTCGGGTAGAAGCACCGACCCATGTCCCTGGAAGTACGTCTCGTACAGCCTACAGCTTCTCTCCATGGCTGCATCGTCGCCAGTAATCTTCAGTCCAGTGATCAATGTAAACTCAAACATCGAGAAACTGACGACCTTGCCCCCGAGGTCGAACTGGAGAGAATCGTCGTCGACTAGCCTCAGAAGCCGACATAGAAGTGCATCAATGATTTGTCCTGAGTACTGCACCTCTCGCAATTGGTACAGTGGCCACAAGAAGGACTGTCATAGAATATCTCCGTGCTGATCATCGAGCAGCTCCAATACATCAGTAAAACTCTCAAAGCTACTGTTCCAAGTAGCTTTCCCCGACATCCGTCTCAACTCTGCATCTAAATGATACTCCATCCTGCAAAAATTCAAATGTTATAGCATTGAACAAGAGATAACAAAATAAAGCATAATCTCACAAAATCAAGAGAACCGAACTCTAACTACCATACAATCACAAATATTACATTTGAAAAATATATTTACAAAAAACAACAAATCAAATTAAATGTATTGTCAAAAAAATTAAAGAATATAAATATTATTTAAATAAATTGAAAAAAAATCAAAGATTTTCATAAAAGAACAATAAAAGGAACAAAACAAATTGTTAATTTCGAACAATATTATGTATTCAATTATTAAATTATATAAAAAAGGAAATTATAAAAATTAAATAATTAAATAAAATAATTATTATTTGAAAAATATATTTACAAACAAAAAATCTCAAATTAAATACATTTTCGAAAAATGTAAAGACTATTTATATTATTTAAATGAATTTGAAAAAATAAATTAAAGATTATTTCATAAAAAAAAAGGAACAACACAAAATTGTTAATTTTAGAATATTTGAATTATTAAATTATATAAAAGACAAATATAAAAATTAAATAAATAATTACTTTAAATTATATAAATTAACAGTCGGGTAAACCGACTGTTAACAGTCGGTTTGGGGCGTTGCCAACGCTCGGTGGCCGGGAAACGGCCGGAAACCGCCATTCCCGACCACTGAGCTCCAAAAAATGGCAAAAAATCTCATTTTTCACACTCCAGCATGCCCACAATCTAGCTACTCATGCCCATGGATCTAATTTCAACCAAAATTACTAAGGATGCTATACTATGAAAAAAAGCATTCGAACTGGAGTTTTGATCAGAAAACTAACCGGTTCTTTTACTTCCACTGTAGATGATGATCGTTGATTGCGACGTTGGTGTAACTCCGGTGGTCGGTCGGTCGGTTCGGTCGGTAAGAGAATTATCAAATAGTCTGAAGGGTAAAATGGGAAAATACTGTGAAGTTTTTTTTTAACTTAATTTGTTTTTTTAATTCATTTAATGGGTCAAAGGCCAATGTTAATTTTTGCTACAGTGGAAGGGCCATTTTTGTGTATTTCCTCGTATTAGGGACAGACCCAGGATTAAAGTCTATTGGTAACGAGAAAAAAAGTGGGCTAAAATAAATTGCAAAAGCAGAAAAAATAATTTATAAATTTTTTAATTAAAAAAAGCCCGATTTAAGGTATCTAAAAGTTCAATGGGGACAACTGTACTCATCGGGCCCTTAATGGGTCCACCCCTGCTCGATATGGACCATCAACTTGTCCATCTTTATTGATGGATTGATCCAAATAGAAGGGTCCTGATTTTGCGATGTCCAAGACCATTAAGGGACCGTTCTCTTCATGTTTCAGTTTTTTAATTTTCGATTTTGAATTCATTTTGAGTTTTATGTTTTGAGTGTCTGTTTTGAAATTGTTGAAAATACGTTCTTTTTATCGTTCTGCATAATCGTTTCTGAAAACATAAAAATGAAAAATGCGTTTACTTTGAAATTTTGATAATATTTTTTATGCTATTTTATTCAAAAAACTACCACAACACCACCACAAAGTCGTCGCCACCACCTCCAATCCACTGCCAACCAAACACAACATAACCATCGTCGCCGCACCACTCACCATTGCCACTGTCGAAAATCATCATCGTCGACCGCCACCACCACCCTCACCATGAACCATCAACTCCACCACCATCATGAAACATCAACCACCGCCACTACCGACACAGAAAACAAAGAAGAAAGAAGAACCACAGACGAAGGGTGAAGAAGACTAGGACACAGAGGAAGGAAGGAGACTTGCAGTAGTCGCAAATCAATTCACCAAAATCAAACACTGCCAAAATCAACACCATCCACCGCACTACATCACCATTGTTGACCTCCACCTCTACAAACAGACAACTATCGCCTGCTCGCCACCATCACAAACAACACCCGTTGTTGCTAGATCAAAAAACCCAAAAGAAACCCCAAAAAGCTAGCGATCCAAAAGAGGGCAAATTGCAGATTCGCGATGCTACGAACTTCAACTCTCCAAACCACAGCTAGTATCAAAGAGAGAGGCGATGGAGTCGCTCCAAACCACAGCAGTGTTGCGACGAACGCAACATCGCCTCCGAAACCATAGCCAGCACCAGTGCGACTCCTTCGTCGCCGTTTACAATGTTTGAGTGGGTCGCCGGCATCGAGAAGAGAGAAGCCGACGAGAAGAGAGAAGGAAGAGACTACAGGAACAGAGACAAAAGATGGTAGAGAGACAGCCTGAATAATTCCTTTTTTGGGTTTTGCCATTTTTCGCATTTTGAAGGATTTTGGCATTTTGGGAAGAAAATGTTCAAAACGACAATTTTGCTGTTTTGCGTTTTTTGTACTTTTTTTTTTTTTCGAAAACAGGAAAGGGAACACGATTTCACCATTTTCGAAAATAAAAAACAGAACACGGGTTCAAAACAATAAAGAGAACATAGCCTAAGTTTTTGAACTAAATATAGTCATGTTCTAGTCATGAATTACCCATTTTTACCATTAAGTTTAGGGGTGGGCGCGGGTCGGGTCGGTTCGGTTCGGTTCTCTTTAGAATCGAACCGAACCAAACTTTTCGGGTATTTAGTAAATGGAACCGTCGGGTCCAAATATAATTATAGAACCGTTCAGGTTCGGTTCCATTCGGTTCGGTTCGGATCGGTTCGGTTCCGTTCGATTCTGTACCATAATTAAATTTTTTAACATTTATAACAACGTTATATAAATACGACTAATGATACATTTAATAGTTTTGGAATGTCAGAGATTAGTAAACTACCTTGTTCAAATGATCGCTACGATCAAAGCTTCAGTCGGGGAAAGTCACGGCTTCGATCGGAGGTCAGAGTGTCGGCCGACGATTGTATAAGTTTTGGAATATTAGATAGACTGCAAGAGTGAGTGCGAGAGTCGAGACAACGTTATGCACTTTATTGTAGGTGTTTAGGGTTATTTAGTGAATTTGATCTTGTTTAGCTAAGAAATGAAACAATAAAATGGGTAATTGGACCAAAAATTAAAAAATTAGAAATGAAACAAATTATTGGGCCAAAAATTTGGATTTAGAAATCATTAATTTGTTAATTTGTTTAGAAAAAATTAAAATTAAAATAATTTGATTTACTCAATATAAAAAAAATTAGAAAGATTCGATTCTTATTCGATTTTTCGGTTCTTGGTCTAGAACCGAGAACTGAACCGTACCCGTCGGTTCTCAATTCAGATACCCGTTCGGGTATTTAATTTGACAAGAACCGTCGGGTTCGGATCGGTTCGGTCGGTTCGAGAGATTTGCCCAGCCCTAATTAAGTTGATCTAAACGTGGGTCCTAACTCGATGATGGCCACAACCGTTTTACCCTCTGCTCTATCTGGGTCATGAGCCCATCCTTCTTCACCGGTGGACCGATTCAAACTTGAGTTCCCTAACTATAATCGTTGCAAGGGCAAATTGCAACACCACACAATCAAAGGCAAGGAAGGTTTGTGCGTCAAACACAGCATGGGCACAGCCCAACATGGAAATCTTTTTATAGCTAAATGTGGAAATCAACTGATGACGAACTAGATTAGTGATGGTTAAACATGTCTCGTGTATTAACTTCGGAAATAATTAATTGGAACATAGACTAAGCATTTTAACAAAAACGGAACATCTAGTTATTTCAAGCGTGAAGAATTGGATATATGCATCGAGTAAAATAGAAGATAGAGTTGTTGACATGGCTAAAGACTCCCAACATAATCTCCAATTTATCGTATTGATCACACACCAACATGCTAAGGGAAAAAGGATAACCGACGAAGCAACAAATGATCTACACGCAAAACATAACAAAAACACATAAAATCCACTAATACAAGTTCGAGAGTAAATTCTTAAAGACCCAAACCAACTGTCCGACCATCCCTTCGACGCAATCCAGCAGTGTATTGCTTCTCGAGATCCAATTGGAGCTTCTCCCTTTGCTTCTCCACATCTTCGTTGTCTTGCTTTTGCTCCACTTTCGCATCCCCTTTCACACCCTACAATTGGATGGTACCAAGGCAACCTCAGACTCTAAAAGTGTGTTAGTACGAATGAACACAAATGTCACTAGTTTGTAGATTTCAGTTACAGTATGTTTGCTAAGGTAGATAGGACAGTACTGAATAATATTAAGGAAGAAAAAATACTGTCCTACCTACCTAATACTGTGAACAAAACAAATATATATGTATATTACAGCAGCAGAACAAACAAAAGGGTTAGAGATTACCATGAGCTTGTTGAATTTTTCTTGCCGTTCCCGATCACCAAATGTTGCCGTATCCCAATTGTGAACAGACTGTGTTGAGCATTGATCAGAACATACAAAAAGAGATCAAAAACTATGAATATCATAGCATTGATCAAAAGATAATGAAAAGTTCTTGTTGATTTGGTCCAAGTCCCTTCAGACTTGCATAGAGAGTGTGATTTGGAGCGGGTAGTTTATACTTAAAGGGCACAATTTTTAATCTGTAAACTGTTACACCTATGAGTTATCATCCCATATTGGGCCATCTTATTGGACCCGGGCGAGGCCCATTAGAGTTGGGCCCCAAAGCCGAGGCTCAAAAGAGACCAGCCGAAGCGCCACTGAGGCGCCTGCCGAGGTGCTTATTATCATGCTTATATAATCACCTCCTTATTGGGCTCGGATTTAGGGCCACTAACACGTTTGGCCCATTTCACTCAAATTTCTCTATATATATGGATCCATTCACACAATTAAGGTATATCTAAACACTCTAGTCCCCCATTTTCCATACTGTTACACTCTATATATTTATCTTCATTCGGCCGTTGATTTGACCGTCAGAGTACAAACGGTAGCGGACCTTTTCTCGTCCAACTACCTTTGCTTCTTGACGGAGTGCTACATGTGCAAGTTTGGAGAGGATTATGCAGGACTTTGTTGGTGCCATTTTTGAAGGTCTCGTGCAAGTTTGGAGAGGATTAGGCAGAACATTTGTTGGCGCCATTTTTGGAAGTCAACATAAACTATACTGTAGCTAAAATTGAATAGATTTCTTTTACCTTCATTCATCCATATAAAGACCAAAATATGGAATATGAATTTAACAGAAGTCGAATTTGGGGAATAGGAGGGAATGGCTGAAAGATGAGAGGAAAGAAGAACAATTAAAAATACCTCTTCTGTTGTTGTGCTCTTCTTGTTGCCCCACAACAGCTTCTTCTTTTGATCAGTAGACATGTATCCAGTTCCAACCAAATTCTTATTAACTGCAATTTATTCCAAAGAAGTAATCAATTGGAAAAGAATACTAGTACCATTCAAGAAAATAGGTAAGGCTCCATTTTATTAACATGATTTAATAAATATAAATCATGGATATAACCAATTTTATTTGAATGTCATGAGTTCGAACCACACACTATAGTGATATTGATATATAAAATAGAAATTAATGTGAAAAATCTTTCCCAGAATATTCATCATACCCACGTATGTAATCCTCCAATTAAAAAAACCACCAATTAGACTCTTCACGATGTCATGGGGAGGATGATTTTACCACTAAATATGCAGTTTGATCCCAAAATTTAAACCACAACATAAACCGTTCTACATGGAGTGAGTAATACTTTTAGAATACCATTATTTAATCCAAATGAGAATGATCATTTAGGGAGATTATTCAGAAATTTCAATTAACTTCTGACAATCAAAATTAACTGGAGAAATTATCTTGTAAAAGAAATTATCCCAGCCTTACAGACAAGCCAGTCCATTCTGTTAAGCGTAACTGTAAGAGCATCTTAAATGTCACACTGAAACTCTCTTTCCAAAATATCAAATAAACAAAAACAATTAAAAATAAAAAACCAAAGTACTATACATACAGAAAATGCTCTAATTTCAAGAAAAAACCAGCACTAATATCAGATTTTACTACATTCGAAAAATGAAACAGCAGATCAACTATTAAGAATGCTAAAAAGAAAAAGTGGCAAACATATTCACATTTAGACATCATATAACACCTTTGGTGAATCTTTCTATCGCTGTCATCAGACAACCAACGGTGGTTAATGTAAAAACTGCTTAAAGATAAAGAATCACTGATTTCAAGGGATCAAGAAAAACTAGTACCTAGTCATAGTCAGCAAGCTTATCAGTTAATTGTCTTATTACAGGCAGCAAAAAGTTATTACTACTCATGTCAATTACAAAAGCCAGGCAAGCAGCAGCATAAATTTAAAATTCAAAATTCCACATCGTTTCACATTTCTCACAGAGATATTTACAAATGAAAGATAGAAACAACTAAAATATTAACTATAGACCAAATCAATTGAATCACAGGAGTGAAAAATGCCACAATTGAGATACCTAGTTCAGCAGCTTTCATAGCAGCAGTTTTTGCAGCATCAATATCAGAATCTGTGACGTAGGCCTGCTCTGAGGGAACTTTTCCAGAAGACACTTGCGCTTGCTTTGAGCTTGAAGACTGACCATCAGCTAAGTTAGCTGATTCAGGAGTTGATTTATCAGACTCCAAAAGCAATTTTTTGAAAAAATTAAAAATAAAAATACATCTAATATTCTGGAGAGAATTATTATTGGCACTCCAAAATATCCAGAATAAGAATAAGATAAGCAATAGCTATAGGACATAATAAAAGTATAAGACACATCACCTTTTCCAGAACCTGCGCTATCGGAGCTAAATAACTTTGGCTTCTTAGCAATGGGCTCCTGATCTTTGCTGGACAAAGCCTTTCTATCTTCAGAATGCTCCTCTGGTTCTTCAGAATGTTGCTCCTTGTACTTATCTCTATCATCAAACCTCTTCGTTTCCTCTATGGTGTACTTCTCACCATCGAATTCCTTAGTCTCTCTCCTAGAAGCTTCTTTTAGACGATCATTTCTGTAATCTCCTAAACCCCTTCTATGGTCCGCCTTCCCATCCCGGCCATCTCTATCCTCTCTATGTCTGTACCTCTCCCCAAACTTACCCTCCTCAAAGCTGGTATATCTCCTACCAGATCCAGCTCTGTCAGATGATGAGTCTTTATCTTTATCCCTGCTTCTATGGCCCAAATTGTCAGATTTTTCTCGAGAATATTTGTCAACATCACGTGAATATTCTCTGGACCGATGCTCATAATCCCGACTTGAGTGATTCGAATTATAATAATCACGTGAGTTCCGATCAGAACGAGAGGATGATTTAGGGTAATCTCTATCATAGTCATCCACATGCTTATCTCGTCTCCTGTAATCATCATGTGTATGATAACTATGGGAATTCCTAGATGACTGTCGATCTGAATGTTTATGTAATTCACCACTGCGACTATGCTGACTCCTACTTAAATCCTTATCTAAGTCCTTATGCCCGTCTCTTCTTCTCTTGTCTCCATCAATTTCCTCGACAACCTTCCTTGATCGGATTGGACTAGAGATGCGCTCACGGCCAGGACTCCCTGGATACACATAAATGAAGCACATACTAGAAAAGGATATCTAATATTAACCAAAGGTATAAAAAGAAGCAGCCACTTCATATAAAACTTCATTTGAATTTTTAGAGATAAGTATGAAAATATTAGAGGACGCATTATATGTCCAAAGTATATAAAATTTTTGCTAGACCAATAAACATTCAATTATATGGCAAATCCCTTAAAGGCTCTTAATAGAAATCTTCATTACATACAAAGACTTTAAAGAAAGTCAATCGAGTCCAGGGCACATATTGGAACACAAAATAGACAATAAATACAAAATAAAACATCAAGTGATATGCACTAATACAGTATAGTTACAAATTTTATCGTCCTTTTCTACTTTAATAATATTCAACAACACAATCCTCCCCATCAAACATATCATTAAACAAAACCACCAGAAATCAGAATCATAGTACGCCAGCACCAAAGGGCTTGAAAGATTCTTGACGGGAAGCTAATAGTGGATGACCTTTTTTCCTTTCTTCATCAGTTTTTGATTCATATTCTTTGCTGTAGCCATTAGCTACATACGTATTGATAAGCTCAACGTTTTGGCCCTATAATTGGAAACCAGCTGGATTCAAGAAAGAAGGAAAACACCTCTCAGTTTAGACTCAACTGATTCTACCAAGCTGAAGACTTCAGGAGACCCACAGTAATCACCATCTAGATCTCAAAACCAACTTGATAACCAATTGAAACCAGCAGAATCCATGCTCATGAATTATGAGAAAAACATAACTACATAACCAAACATTCTTTTTCTTCAAACAAAATCTGATTTCAATAAAAGTAGATTATCTTAAAGGACTAACCACCGGATGAAGATGAAGACCCATTAAGAGGAGACCGGCGCCTGTACTTCCGGTTACCTGAATCATTCAAAGGCTTCCGAAATTCCGCCTTTGGATCAACAATTTCATGGGTATTTGAATCCATACTTCCTTTTCCTGAAGGAAAAACAAAATCCCAATAGTTTCGTATTAAAAATCGAATTTCATTTTCCAACAAAATAGAAAAAAGTGAATAAATATTATACAAAATACGTATGATTTTACATATATATACGTATATAATATGCTTATTGAGAGACGAACCTGTAATTCAATAAGGGCAAACAAATTTGGGATTAGGGTTTCGTCGTTTTGGTGCTTTCGAAGTGAAGCAAAATGAATAAAATGAAGGTCTAGAAACGTCACACGGGGAAAGATTTTAATAAAAAGGGAATTTACTAAAAATAGCCCCAAGGAAAGCCAGAAAATGAATTGTAGCGGAATTTTTTTAACTTTCAATGTTGTACATTTTTTTCACCACTCTAAATTATAATTATAAAATTTTTAAATCAGAATGTTTGGTGGAGATTAAAGTTAGGATCCGTTTAATTGCAAAAATAGAATAGAATTGAATTGAATTGAAAATTAATTCTAGAGAATTGAACTGTCTAGAAATTGTTTTCCTGAAAATTATAAATTATTAGGTTTGATTGGTTTAATTTTTCAAGTGGAAAATGTTGAAATAAAAGTATTTTTTGGTGTTCGTTTGGTTTTGTTTTATATGAAAATTATCAATTAAAGGGATAAATTTTACTGGTATTGGGGATGAAATTTGTTTCCATTACTAACCAAAAAAAAAAATTCAAGAAAAACATCTATCTTTTAGTGTTAGTTTAGTTTTGTTCTACATGAAAATTGACAATTAAAGGAAAATATTTTTTTACAATTATTCTTAAATTTGTTTCCATTGCCCAAAAAATAATAAAATAAACGAAAAACAAAAATTGCTAAAGTAATCCGGGAAAACGAATTTTCTCTCAAATAGAAGGAAAATATCTATGTAGCATCAAAAGGTAAAAAAATGAATTCCAATAAAATTTTTGGCAATCAAACATCAAAAAATGAAAAATGGGATTCATGGAATTTCCTACCTATTAGACACACCATTAAATTTTTTCAGTAGATTGTGATAGAAGTTTCTGAAATATGTTATTGAAAAGTTGTGGAACACATGAAAGATATTGTTAATATTAATTGTTTGATTTTGACTTGGATTAAAATCAAATTTTAATCCAAACCAAACAGGGGGTCAAATTTAATAATTTTACAATTTCTTTAATCAAAATTATTTTTAATTCCTCGGTAGAATATCGAAAATTCACTAATTTTAACTTATTATTTATAATAAATGCAAAATCATGAAATTTCACTTTCCTTTTTTGTTAACGAATTTTACATTACAAAGTATGCTAATTGATCTTTACGGTGCTTCATCTATCAATTAGATCCTTTTTTAATCCATAGAAAAAAGTATCTTCACTCGTAGATCCATTATTCAAATAACTAGAATTCCGATTACTATAAAAAAAAAGTGGCTCTAGTTTACGGCCGGATGAATGAACCACTCAACCACAAATTTGTTGAATGAAGGTAGCTTGCTTACTCTCAACCACTAGTTAGACGGAAAAAATAGAGACGTCTCCTATATTACCCATAATATATGGAAGCATCGAAGTAATTTTATAAAGTCATTCGGTCTGAATGCTACATGAAGCCAAAAATATTGATATCTTGGCAGCATTCCGAGTAACTCCTCAACCTTCATGGTAACGTAAATAGATTATCATTTTTCTATCATAGTTGGCATGATCGACGATAAAAGATACCATGGAAACTAAAATGAAGGTACTATTTTAACCTTCTCTAAACTTCCAAGGACTAAAATGAAATTTCATAATTATAAATGTATGACATTATTCAGACTCAAGGGACCATTCTGCAATTTACCCCTCTTTCATTCACTAAGAATATCCAAACGAACCCCTGATAGGGTTTCTAGGGTTTAAGACTCTTCCTTCTCTAGTTCAGTCACTCATAACTCATAAGTTTCCAAATTTTTTCGTTATAATTGCCATAAATCTCTGAATTCAGCATGTGGGCACTACGTAGAGTATCCATTCCTATCAAGTAATTTGTTTCTCTTCTTGTTCTCACGTACATACACAAAATATGTGTGTCATTTGTATGAGCGCAATTTTTTGTGTGTTTTTTGATTGTTTATTGTTTTTCCACTGCATTTTATTTCTATAATGAAGTTGTTTACTTGGAATCTGGCTGGTTTTGCAAATATATAGTGGGTATACGTATATGTATTTAAATATTTTTGAAGTACATGAATGTATATATGTACACTGTACATATACAGCATTTGTTTATGTTACGACTTTCCAATTTATTTTATAAAGCTCTGAAATTCATCACGTGGCCACTGGCCATTCCTGTCAATTAATTTGTTTTGCCGACACTCTTGCACGCATATATGCATAGAATTACATATATATACTCGCGTATGCTTTCAACACATATTTTTATGCACGTTTATGTGAAGTTCACAGTGAATTTATGGTTTCTTTTGGTCTATGGATTTATATTGGAACGAAGGAAAGGTTAAAAAACAAGTGGACAGAAAAAAAAAAATTATATTTTCTCTGTTTTTAGGAACAAGCACATTTCGTCAATGATTGTATGGTATTGCTGAATTTTTATAGTTCTATGACAAATGGTTTGTAAAATTAAGAATCTCTGGAGATTGCTGTCTTCAAATGGTTATTCATATGTTGCTCCAATCCATCTCAAGTTTCGCAAAAAAGTTTGAGTGGAGAATGTAATAAAATTGTTGATTCTTGTGATCAATTTCTGTCCTCTGGAATTCTGATCTACACATATTGTTTGCACCCAGGAATCGAGGATTTAGCATATCCTCTCGAGTTTGCTGCTCTAAAACAGAAATAGCAAGATTTTACATGGATAATCACAAGGCTGAATTCATTGAACCTCGAGAAGTACCAACTGATGGTTTCCATTTGCTTAAAAGATTCCATGACAAATCATCTAATGTTCGGAAGTTATCCATCGAATTTCGTGGTTATTCTTCACTGGCTGACTCAAAGAGCAAAGATGAAGATGATGACTTGGAGGATGCTTTCTCTGAACTTGAAGGTCATCCAACTGTCTCTGGTGCCACTTTAGAAGATAATGCTGAAGATGAGAATGGCGATGAACTGATTTCTGGGCCAGAGCTATCTGAAGAGGTGCCTTCTGATGACGACATGCTAGTGACAGAAAATGAGGTAGAGGTATTAGATAATGAGACAAATGTTTCAGAGAAGGTCTCTTCAAGAAAGATGGGTACTTCAGCATTGGCTCGTGCTATCTTAGGTGCTCCAGCTTCATCACTTGGAAAGTTTTTGGATAAATGGGTTGCTGAAGGTAATGAAGTTACCCGGTTAGAAGTATTGTTAGCCATGCTTACTCTGCGGAAGCGGCGTTTGTACGGCAAGGCCTTGCAGGTGATTTGATTTAATCTTTAATTGCATATCATTTATTCTGTTCGGTGCATACATGTTATTATTCCTGATTCTTTCTAAGCTCAACGAAATACAACTATCAATGATTTTGTTGGACTATCTATCAGCATTTATTCCCTTAACTATGTTTTCCCTGATGTACTTAATATCTTTGTATTTTTGATACATGAAAGATTAAAGACTTGATGCAAGCTCTGGAGGACACGACTTCACCGATGTTAACCCTTATATTCTCAAATGCATCACTCCTTTCGGAGTCATTTTTTTCTCTCAACCTTCTTTTCTATTGTCTTTTTGTTTATTCTCCGTTCAAAGTTGCACTCCCTGTTTGTTGAAACATCTTAAGAGAGCCTTTAAACAGATTTAGTCATCACGATACTATATTGATAGACATTTTTTACTCTGTTCTGATGTTTGTATACTGGATATAGCAGTTGACTTGCTTAGATTAATTCCTGATTTGATAGTTCCATGGAGCATTTCCTGTACTAAATATGCTTGAATAATTTTAGCATCTCCATGAAAAAAAAAATGAAAGAAAGAAAAAGGAAAAGAAAAATTTGACTATGAGGTTTTAATATTTTCATGGCTTTGAAGTTGTGAAATATTCCCATGACTTTCTTTATGTCATTTTATGCTTTATCATCTTTCTTAGTCAATCTATTTTAACAAAATTTTTTTCTCCTGAAGAATTAAGGTCTAGGTAAACCTAAATCTTATTAATCTTTTGTTCAGTTAGATATTTTTTATGACTTCTATGTTGGAGTATTGAGAATATATGGTTGTACTTCATCAAAGGATGTGATGGGTATTTCTAATGTATATATTCCTTTTGAAATTCATGCTGTGAAGTTAGGTCAGCTTGTTTCAGTTTAAATTTCTTTCAATAGTCTTTGATTCTGTAGTTTGCTGTATGCTCTCATATTGTTGTAACAAATTACTTGTATGTTAAGAGGGTGTTTGATACACATTTTTATGAAAAAATGAATTGTAGAATAGTAGATTGATGGAGAACATGTGGATGAAAAATAAGAATTTTTTTTTTTTTTTTTATTTACGTGTAATCTATGATGCTCGGATTCGGGTATGGGTGTTGGGTACGGGTACATATCTAAATGTCAGATCTTTTATTTTCTAAAATGTAGGATACGGAGATATGGTTAAAAAGAGTCTAAATTTTGGACACGGGTACGTGGGTACATCTTCCAAACTTTAATTTTTTTACTAACTCAAGATGTTATTTTGAATAGATCAAAATCAATTGATCACAAAGAAGGAAATAGTATTGAATAATGGATTAAGACAAATAAATTAGAATTTTTGGGTTTAGTTTTCAATTATGAGAAGTTAATTACTAAATGTTATATAAAATGGAAAATGAGGAATTTGATTGCAATTTAGATTTAGTGCAGCACTAAGTAGTATTATATGGAACCAATTTTCATTTTATACAAATAAAACCCTAAACCACCAGTACAAAGAGGGAAAGAAGGGGAAAAAAAAGAAAAGAAAAGGGAAAGAAAAAGGGAAAATCTAGCGCCATCGCCTTTCTCCACTCTCTCGACGGTGGCGCTAGGTTTATAGGGAGTAGAAAAAGAAAGAAAAGAGGAAAAAAATGAAAGAAGACAAAGAAAGAAGCAAAAAACAGCGAAGTGTCTGGTTAACACTTGGAGGATTGGACACATATCCCATACCCATGTCGTGTCGTTCCGACACGGGCACTTTATTCATTTCGAAGAGTCCGAGCATCAAAGTGTATAATATTATTTTAATGAAGAATGTGTGGTTAAAAAGAAGAGAAGAAAAAATGTATTTTGATAAAAATGAGAATCAAACGGGACCTAAGTGTGCAATTTTTGGATGCTTTCTACTTCATATTATTGCCGTTTCTTAATTTGGTAACTTGTTAATTGTTATAGGTCTGCTAACTTGATTCTTAGTTGCATGTTATTATTTGTCTTTGAAGTTGGAATCCTAATAGACTCACCATCTTTATGGAACCTAGTGCATGTATACAGACTCCGTTATAGCAACGTGCCATCTAAATAAAATGTAAACCTTGTCAAGTAGGTTGGATCATGACAATGTCATTAATTGGCCGATACAAACTTAGAAGTCTTGTTTCTTTCCCCCATTTATGGTTATTGTCTTCCAGTACCATATACCTCGTTAATTGTGGAGTTCCAGTACCCAATAGTAAATCTATGACACAATTGTCCATGATTTTTTTAATTAAAAATGGAGGTCAATACTAATGCAGTCAAGGGAGGTTCTTGGCCTATTCGAACCTGTTTTACTTATGTTTAACTGGCTTATTCTGTATGCGTGCAATTTATTTCACCCAAGACTTTGTATGAAGTTGCTTCTTGGATCTTCTCCAACTGACCAGTCAGAATCCGGTTGGATAAAGAGGAGATGGCATCTTGATGTTTCATTAGCCAGATCATCGCTAGTCACCATGGTGATGAGATGGCAAAGATTTGACAGTATTTGTTTCAAGCTTACACCTCTCATCTCAGCTTCATATATCTTTTTGTATAGCTGTAGATCAGAATCCAGAATTTCTAATATTTGGCTTGATTTTCTTCTAGAATAAGTTTCATATTAATTTATAGGCCTCCTTTTACTTCTGGGTGTGTCTCACTTTTAATTTTCACATTTTGCAGCTGTCAGAGTGGTTAGAGTCTAAGAAGCTTCTTGACTTTGGCGAGAGAGATTATGCTTCTCGTCTTGATTTAATTGCCAAAGTACGTGGTATCTACAAGGCTGAAAGCTACATTCAGCACATTCCTGAATCGTTCAAAAGTGAATTAATTTATCGAACTCTCTTGGCAAATTGTGTTTCTGTAAGCAATGTAAAGAAAACTGAGGAGGTTTTCAGTAAAATGAAGGATCTAGAATTACCAGTGACATGCTTTGCTTGCAATCAGTTACTACTCCTGTATAAGCGGGTTGACAAAAGGAAAATTGCTGATGTTTTATTGTTAATGGAGAAAGAAAATATCAAGCCATCCCTCTTCACTTATCAAGTCTTGATTGATGCGAAAGGGCAATCCAATGACATTGCTGGGATGGAACAAATTGTTGAGACAATGAAGGCCGAGGGGTTGGAACCTAACACCCATATTCAATCAATCTTGGCTCGGCACTATGTTGCTGGTGGCCTAAAAGATAAAGCTGAGGCTGTCTTGAAAGAGATGGAAGGAGACAATATAGAGAAAAATCGATGGGCTTGCCGGCATGTGCTCCCTCTTTATGCCTCCCTTGGTATGGCTGATGAAGTTGAACGGATCTGGAAAGTATGTGAATATGATCCACGTCTGGAAGAGTGTACTGCTGCCATCGAAGCTTGGGGAAAGCTAAAGAAAATTGAAGAAGCAGAAGCAGTTTTTGATAAGTTGGAAAAAAAGCTGAGAAGTCCGTCTGTGAAACTTTATTCTATTCTGCTAAAAGTTTATGCACAACATAAGATGTTGGCCAAAGGAAAGGACCTCGTCATCAGAATGGCTGAAAGTGGTTGTGCCATCGGACCACTGACTTGGGATGCACTTGTGAAGCTTTACATTGATGCCGGAGAAGTGGAAAAGGCCGACTCCATACTGCAAAGGGCTGCTGAGAAGAAAAGTGGCAAACCAATGTTTAGTTCGTATGTGGCACTTATGGACCAATATGCTAAGAGAGGTGACATCCACAATGCTGAAAAAATGTTCCACAGAATGAGACAAGTTGGGTATGCCTCAAGATTCCGGCAGTACGAGTCACTCATTCAAGCCTACATAAATGCCAAGGCTCCCGCGTATGGGTTCAGAGAGCGGATGAAGGCTGATAATCTATTCCCTAATAAATCAATGTCTGCTCAGTTGGATCAGGTAAATGCATTCAAAAAGACGGCATTGTCAGACTTGCTGGATTGAGGACATAGCGCATACGTATAGCAAGTACTCCTAGACAAGCTTGTGTCATAAATTACATGATTGTTGAGAACTTTTATTTTATATTCGAAGTAACAACTCAATTAATGAAAGCCTTTCATTTGCTTGTCTTTTGCGCGAGTTTGAATTTTGTAATTGAGGTTCCCAACTTAAATGTCATTGCAGCAAACCTTTTTTCGGCGTTTTCATTCATTTAGTTAAAAAAGTCAGAAGATTTCACTAATTTTCCATTGAATGTCATTCTATCACAATTCACAATTGAGACCAACTATAAAAAGACACAAGGTGGAGTTGGAGGAACCATCAGATAAATAGATAAAAAAATCCCACAAGTGACACATTCGATTAAAAATGTAGGCATGAAATTCCACACCACATGAGATAATTATACACATTCAACATATACCGTGCTATCCTCCTAACATCACCATCTATCATTTTATCAAACTAATTCAAAATTCTTAGTCGCAATCCCTTTGCGGGGAAAAAGAAAGTCTTGACTCAATCAATGCGTACGCCTGATTCTTACAACTCAGCAAGTTCTCCACATTTTCTATGGAAAACTCTACATTAATAACCTTTTGCTATTTGTGATCTCTCTATGTTGATCCAGAACCTTCCGCTAATGCAGCTTCACGTTCCTCACGCCGATGTTCTCTCTGAAATCGGGTAATTACAAGGCTAAAAGTATCCACGTTGATCGAGCCATAACGGAAAAACGGATGCAACAAGTCAAATGATAACTGCATACAGTGAAAAGAGAAATACTGACAAGCAAGAGTAAAGTTAAATTTCATTTACTTGTCACCCATTTATACAGAAAAAGATAAGCATGGGTACTAAGACACCCTAAGATGTACTATGGCTAGTTATTACTACAAAAGTGTTTCAAATTTAGCGAAGCTAGAGTGGAACTGCTTAGCTTCTCTATTAATGGATAAGTTAAAACAAGAAACTCACAAAAGGAAGCTAAAACTGTCATCTTCTTCATAATAACTCTAACAATGGCTCCTCCTTAGATGTAAATCCTACGAAATTGAAAACTATCAGATAAAGAAGCTGTAGCTTCCGTTTTCATATGATACAGTAAGATATAATGCGACACCTTAGATAGAATAGGAACAACATAAATGAGAACTACTTATGTCTAATTATCAGCCTTATTTCTCTGGGAGTAGTTCAACTAGTCAGAACGCTGCCCTGTCAAGGCCGAAGGTGTGGGTTCAAGGCTATTGTACCTAAAAGAATGACCCCCTCCTTTCATCTCCTGGAAAGGCGATAATATTTGAGAAATTGTTATTGAAAAAGAAAAAGAATAAAAAAAATAGATATCACATTTACGTAGTTGGTTTTTGCATTTTTGCAATGCAGAGAACACAACATTTAGCTGACAAGAAAAGAGTACCACAGGATCGACAAACGCAAAGGAAGGAACTGAAGATTCCAATGATTCACTTATCATTTGTCACAGTTTCTTAAGTAATTACTCTAATTCGAGAACATGAAGCAAAGATGAGAAACATACCCTTCGTTCCCAGTACGGAAGGAAGCACACAAAATCATAAACAGGAGTTATTGTTGAGACCAATACGGCATTAAGTCCAGTAAACAGCAAAAGTGCTGCCATAGGCCGAGTTCTGTGAGGCATTTCTCTTCGCACAAACTGTTAATTCTGCATACAAAATCCCAGCAAGAATCCTGGAGGCTTCTACACAATTTAAAACAGCAGTGCGAATTGAATTCATAGCATTTACTGAACTATAACAAGTTCTGAATTACATTTTATAAGCATCTCATTTATAATAATCAAAATACTTAACATTTTCGTGGTACTGCATCAATCATACATTCCGCAAAGCATAAATTTTTGAAGAAACCCAACCTTTCAATATAGAAAAAGATATTTTCAGTAAGCAAAATCCAGATATTAGAAACAATGCGTATAAACGAACAATAGAAGTCATCGAATTGAATATTGTTCCCAACAATGGATCACAAATAAGAATCAGTATTCAGTCATCACACTCAACACTGCATCAGGATTCAATGCTCATTACCAGTACCCACTGCAACCACATATTTAAAAAATATATATATTATGCTCAAAAAATCCAAATCTAAAATCTACCTTATGGAATTGGTAAAGTTCAAATATTTATGGAATCCAAAAAAAAAAAGAAAAAGGGGGGAAGAAGAAAGAAGAAGAAAAGAAGTATCGAATTCGGCTAATATTAGAAACCCGACCAGCAGAATTGAAGTAAACACAACCCCTGAAAAATCAATAAACAAAAGAAAACGTATGCGATCCGAGAAAGATGAAATTCGAAATGAATGAAATTAATATGTTTACACAATTTGGAAAAATTAAAAATATCAAACAACTCGAAATTAAAACTGGAATTAAAATCTGACTTGGTTGTTATAATATTCAACGGTGGCCAAAATTTACCGGCTCCGGCATCGGCGGAGTGAGAGAGGAAAGTTGAAGAAATTTAACCAATAATAACTGAACTTTACATTTGGTTACTACTTGCACACTTATTTTCACATGTTACTGAATGCTCACTCATCTTTTCATATAATTACTCATTCATCACTCGTCTCTTTAAATAATTGAGCAACTTTTGCGGCAACTTTTTTACAACTTCCAACCACAAAGAATGTTGAATTTTGATACCGTTGAAAAGCTCAAGATATCCTCTTCAATTACCACCCAAAATCTCATTATAACTCCAAGGAATTCGATCGGAAAATTGCCTTAAACGTCACCCAAAAATTATGAAAATCTGCCCAGATTTTTAGATTTTTTGGACGACTTTTAAGGCAATTTTTCGGCAACTTTCGATCATCAAAACTATCTAATTTTGATACCATTGGAAAGCCCACAATGTCCTCTTCAATTATCACCCAAAATTTCCCGATAACTCCAAAGGATTCGATCTGAATAAACCCACAAAGTCAGCGTCCTGAACTTTGTCTAGATTTTCGCCTTTTCGAAATGCTGACTTTATGGGTTTATTCCGACCAAATCCTATGGAGTTATGGGGAAATTTTGGACGGTAATTGAAGAGGATATTGTGAGCTTTCCAATAGTATCAAAATTCGATAGTTTTGATGGTCAAAAGTTGCCAAAAAATTGCCTAAAAAGTAGCCCAAAAAATTTGAAAATCTGGGCAGATTTTCAGAATTTTTGGGTAATTTTTAAGGCAATTTTCCTATCGAATCCCTTAGAGTTTAATGAGATTTTGGATGGTAATTGAAGAGGACATTATGGGCTTTCCAACGGTATCAAAATTCGACATTCTTTGTGGTCGGAAGTTGTCAAAAATTTACCGTAAAAGTCGTCCAATCATTTGAAGAGACGAGTGGTAAATGAGTAATTATATGAAAAGATGAGTGATCATTCAGTAACTTATGAAAGATGAGTGAGCAAGTAGTAACCAAGTGTGAAGTTCAGTGATTATTGGTTAAATTTACTCGAGGAAAGTTTATTATCATGCAAGTTTCATTGAAAGAAATTCATGTTTTATAATTAAAATAACGAAAAAAACAGAAAAATAAAAATAAGGGCATATGTAGTCACTATCAAATGTTCAAAGACCAAATTGACATTAAATGAAAAGTTCGAGGGGTATAAATGATATTACCCAAATTATTAAATTAATTACTTGGAAAAAAAAAAGTTAATGACTTAAAAATTTTGAACAGTACTTATTACGAAAAATGTAATTATAATGAAACGAAGTGATTAAAATTGAATATTCTAAATTGTGTTAGGAGAAAAATCGATTCTTGCAACTCAAAAGACAATTTCACTCGTTGAAATATAATTGAAAAAATATTCAATAAGATACTTAAAATGAACAATTATATAATTATATAACGAACATGCCTCATGAATAAAAGTACTTTTAAAGGTGAGGGTAAATTTGATAAATAAAAAAAACCCCCGCCCCCCAAAAAAAAAAAATCTCACGAGTAAAAGTATCGTTAAAGAATCTGGAGTTGCATAAGGTTAACAAATTTTGAAATAGTAATTATTTAGAAAGAATGTAGTTGAAATTAGGGTGCGTTTGATTGCAAGTATGAAATTTGCATGGAAAAAAAAGAACTCCAAGTAATCTAATTGCCTAAAATTTATTTGTATGGAAATTGTCAATTAAATGTGTTTAATTGATTTAATTTTCAAACTATAAAATATTATACTTGTCATTTTTTATTGTGGGTAGATGTGAAAAAGAGAGTGAATTCTACGGGAAATAAAATCCCACTTCCCATAAAGAAAATATTTTTTTTGATTTTGAGAAAAATATGGTCACGTGATAAAAAATATGAAATATTTTTTATAGAAAAAATGACAATCAAACAACATAAAAATAGGAATTTGGATGGAAAATATTGGCAAAACAAATGCACCTTTAATGAAAAGTTTTAAATTTACATATAAGATTATTTTATAGGAAAATGGATGGTTGAAAATGAATCTTTGTATAATGCATATTTGAAAAGGGTAATTATATCACCATAACAAATTTTATTAAGTACACCACAATTTTCTCATTTACTAAAATATTCTTAAGTAAAATTACATAATTAGGGTTTTAACATACTTTTGAATTAAATAAATTATTGTTACACCACAAATATAAAACCTAATTTCTTTATTTCTTTCTTTTTCCTCAACATCTCATTGCTCATCCTTTTTCCGATGGCTCTTGCCTTCTTGGTAGCAAGATAATTTTCTTTTCCTCACGATAAATGAATTTATATTCTATTTGACCACAATTAAAGATGAATTTTTTTCAATTTACTTGTCAAGTTTGAAAGTTTACAATCTGATTTTTTTTGTTAAGTCTAACAGATTTATTATGACTTTAAAAAGGTATGTAAGATTATGGTTTTTAATTGTTAAGTGGGTTTATGAATTTACGTGTATATACTCATCATAATTCCATGAATTGCGTGCATTCAATATGTGAGATATACCCAAGGACATATTCATATGTACTGCACCATTCATTACCATGAATTTAGGTGTATATAGGTAAATGAATTTGTGTATATGTATGTTTGAAAGTTTCCATGGATTTTTGTGTATGTAAGTCTATCAAATTATTGACAAATTCAAAGGATCCTTTCGAACATATTAATTATTTATGACAAATATTCAATTTAGTGTTTTTCGCCAATTTCTTGTTTCCAATGGTTGTTAAATAATGAGGGAGAAAGTTGAGAAAATGAGGATTGATATTGGTTATAAGTACAACACAATATTGTATTAGGTTTTTTTTTTTTTTTAATTTTTTGTTTTTATTGAATTAGGAGTATAATTGTAAATTTATTGTGATGTATTTATTGAAAATATATTTTAATTGTGGTGTGATTATAACATGATGTAGTCAATAAAATTTATAGTGATAATATAATTACACTTTTAAAATGTAGCCCAAACAAGGGACCTGCGTTGCAAAGTATCAGAATATGATAATTAGCTGAATATCTGCTAAAATACTGAAAATTTAAACTTCCAAAATTGAATAATATAAAAGCAATATAATACCTAGAAACACACTTTATTTGGCTGTCTTTACATATTTCTACAACTATTGCACTGATCTTTATCCTACATTGCTATAATAAAATCGAAAACAGCACAACACCATATTATTAATTCCTGTACTAGACACATAATGAGCCTAATACCACATTTTTTAACATGCACAGATAGAGTTACACTTCACAACAGAAACAGTCACTGTAATTTATGAAGGCCGGCTTGGTGATTGCATGGCAAACGCGCTATATGAAGTGTCATTGGTGGTCGACTGTTTATCTCCCATTCTGCTTCACCTTCTGATGGAGAGTGACTTTGTTTCACTCTTGTGGCCTTGCAAGCCAAAGAGAACTGAGGGCTCGAAGGCGGGAGAAATAATCGTTCATAAGGAGAAGGGCACGGGCTGATTGCCTGGTCGTCAAGATACGATGCATCTCCTGTAATGTCTGTTGCCTCGTGTTATCCGCCTGGAAAATATCAAAAATTGATAAATGCAGCAGAAAAAGGCATTATCATAACTTATCTATACTATTATTATCTCTGAAAAATGCATTGAGAGAAGCAGTTTTTACACTTCGATTGATATCTACCAATGTCATAGAAATTGGACAGTAGGCTTGAAAGTCACTTAAATTTACTTTTGACTAAATTTTTTGTTTCTAGACAATTTACATATGTTATTTCACTATGTATGTTCTCTAGTTTTTGGTGAATGTAATCAAAACGTATTCTAGAAATCGAATGTTTCACAAAAATGGATAGCACGATCAGATCAACAGATGAGATTTATTACCTGGCGCAAGAAATTTTCAAGAGTCTCCAACTTCCCCATGGCCATTGCCATCTGACCCATATAATTTGCAACGTTACCAGACGGCCCTTCTGGTCCTGAAGATCCAGTAGCTAATGTCTCGGCTAGAGATTGCTGTAATGCTTCTTTACCCTGTGAGAGAGCATCTTCTGCTTGGTGAGATGATTGTTGTAACATGTATATTTTCTCCAACTGTTGCTCGGTCAGAGGTTCCAACCGATTCACAAGAAGCTGCATTGCCATTAAACCACAATAAACGAAGAATGGGACAGTAATATAAATATTTTTTCGTGAGTGCAGTGTCACCCATTTCTGATGAACGAGATCTCTAGACTGAAAGGTGAAAGCATCATGGAACAAATGCTATGATTGTTAGTCCGTAATGTGGGTCTCTGTGGAACTTAATCATACTATTGAATTATTTGCTCAGCTAGTCGGCTAGTTTCCTATGCTATATAGAGGAAAGTGAGGGAGCCCTTTTTTGTGTGTACACAAGATAGAGACGGAAATCTATAAATATACGAAGGGCTTGTTTGGGATAGCTTCTGCTTTTATTTTTTGTAGAAGAGTTTCCTGAAGAAACCATCATGAGCTAACTTCCTCTAAAAGCTCTTCTAATTAAATTCCACTTTTAAAAAATTATCGAACAAAAGCATCTTCTTAATCTTAGAAATAGCTTTTGGCTTTTCAAAAGTCCTTCACACACCTTGAGAAGTTCAGATGGACGGAATCCACCAATCCACATAAAACACCTTTCCGCAGGTGACTTCCACATACCAGACAACAGGTGGAATACATCACCCTTGGCTGCTTTACTTTTCAGCCGGAAAATGTCGTTGAAATGTTCAATCACATTATCCACAATAGTGCGAAGCTCGGGGTCACTTGCATGTGAATTGACTGCTGTCCTCAACTCGTTTATCAGCCTGTTTTGCTCCTCCAACCACCGTGCATGTTCCACGTCAAATGCCATTGCCCCTGCAATAACAAAGATATGATACACTGGTTATAGCCACGTCAAAGAAAATAAAGAAAAATATTCCAAATATTAAGTTAACAAAAGAAGTGCTTTTTTCCTGTATGTTCATCGAAGTAGACAAATCAACAAAAACTTAAATTTGTAAATAACTAGAGCAGTAAAATTAACTCTTATAGTCAATATTCTCGTGAACATGGAAAAGGTCAGTAGAATTATTCAAGCACAAATAATTCAACAGATCATTTACATTGTCCAAGATCAAAGAACTTACTAATTGTTCGAAATGTTTTACATGTATATGTTCTAGTCCATATAATCCTCAGATCAACAAGCTTTTTGACCAAACAAAAGTTTAGTATTTAATTTGCACCACACAAAGCTTTAAGAAACAAATCAGGAGTATCCTTTATATTCTAGCTTTTGTGAAATTACCTTTACTAGGACAAGTAACATGTTTGGAGAATTTACGTAAAAATAGCTACTTTTCCTAAAGTAACTTTATCATCAAAATAATTAACTTATTTCCAATTTTCATCACTATAAAACTACTTATGTTAAATCTTGCTTATTTACTTAAAAGTAATTTTTTATGTTTGTGTCACTGTCTACTGCACTGCTCCTGCTCAAAGTTTTAATAGACGACCCATAACAACTAAAAAATAATTGCAAAGCCTTTCTAACAATACTGTGGGTTCTATCGTTTAAAAATACCAAAAAGAAATGAATAATCAACTGTACAGAAACAAAAAGGACACCATACCATTGCCACTCCCAGCATTAGATTGGTCTCCAGCGCTGGAAACGAATATACCCTGCAATAAAATTGAAACTTTTAATGCAGAAAATATGGAAGGTTTAAACTACCCGTCATGATGATAAGGTAAATGAATAGAACACTGAAATAGCACATCTAATAAAACCCAACCTGTTGACGAGCTCGCTGCAGTTCCTGCTCCAGTTGTGTCAGCTTCAAGCGGCTATTCTCCAGCTGTTGTACATAGGCCTACAAAGTATACAAGAAAAGATTTAATTTCCAGTACTCCAAGATTTTCCTAAACATAATTACACTATTTGTTTTATCAAACAAAACAGAAAAAAATTGAAGTTTTGCAACTAAAATTAAATTAAAATAAAGAAAACCTACTTTCTTCCTCAATCGGCTTTTCCTTGCAGCTTCACGATTTTGGGCAAGCCTTCGCAAAGTCTTAAAGACATATAGTGAGAGGAATCAACAAGTTATTCTTGAAATTAGCTAAATGACAATTAGTATATTCATACAACCTTTTGATCAAGGCTTTTTTCTTTTGATTTTCCACTGGAATCTGAGACTGCAACGGCACCAGACTGACCCATATCAAACTACACAAGACAGCAGAATCTCAGTCACAACTCCACCAATAAGATTTACCAATAATTTTAATTTTAACTCCAAGAATTATTAATGCGATAACTCTTCTTCATATGTTGTAAGTCCCATGACTGTATATATAATTATATATAAAACCAGATAATTTCTCAATAACCTTAAAGCATATTCAATAAATATTTTATTTTGTCAGAAATTATAGTAATGGGAGAAGGCCAAATTGAAACACGGTCTTAGAAGCTAAAACTGAAAGTCAGAATTCCAAAACGATTCACCCTTTGGTCTTTATCATCTGGCTCCATGTCAGTTGAAGTATCCGTACGAGAACTGGAATCTGCCATGCTCGACTCTCCCCAGTTCGCATGTTGAGCACCAGATACAGAAACTAGATTTTGCAATGGTCCCTTTTGTAATTGTACCGTTTGAGACCCCATAAGAGCAGTAGAGAAATGCGTATTGGTAGGAGTGAGAGACTATAAAATAAATGATGATGTGAAGATATCAGAAACTGATAACAGTTTTCAAATCAGATAAGGCACACAACAGACCAGAATGAGAAGAAAATAATATTACCTTATCAAATGTGTTAGCTGGGAGAACAGGATGCATTGTTTCGCTAGTTACAGTTGGTTCAAATACTGGATCTGTACAGAAATAATTTATTCCATTGAAAATTTTATCACAAGAAGATAAAGTAACAAAAGAAGTTGCAAGTAAAAATATCCAACACAAGCCGATAACTCTAGGTAACTCCTAAGAACATCCCTAAAGAACTGCAACCTTGCTTGGTCTATCATATTCATGTCACTGAGAGTGCTGAACTACACTACGGATCTAACTTGTGTATTTGAACCCAAAAACTTGCTATTGTCAACCTAGCATTTTATCACTTCACAAGCATAGCAAGTTTTGTTCAATACGGACAAGCAATGCATCAAAGTGCACACGTGAATATCTTTGCACAACGTTGTAGAATTATCATTCTTTTTTTATTTTTTGGGTTGTTAAACCTTTATTTTTCAAGAATTAATATTTTAGGGTGGTTAAACCCTTTTGTCAAGTGATGAATTAAAAAATATAGTGATTTTACTCATCCGGATAGGTGCTTTGAGCATGGCTGAAATGGCAAAACCACTTTCCTGGCAACTCGACTTCCCTTTTAGAGGCATTTACAACTACACATACATATCTTTCCAGATTAATGGATCTTGAAGGCCTCACTATTAAAGTTTGGCACTCTGGAACAACAGGGGCCGAAGTTTAATGATTACGTATGTCCTCTTGGAAAAGCTATTGGGATCTAGAAAATTCTGAACGAGGATGTCCATGCAAATTTTGAGTGAATGAAATTCTATGTTACTTGTTTGATTAGATGTTCATTTGGAGTTATCACAAATGTAATTTGTCATCCTCCCACCAAGAATATGTTTTCCTTAACTCATATCTTATAAATCACATTATGTCTAATAATCAGCAGATGTTATCCATGAACCTAGTGAAAAGCCAGGATTTCAAAAGACAGCAGTAATGAACCAGCCGTCATTAAACAGCTTAAGCACCTCTTTACCGGAGTGAAACTCCCAGAACGTATATCTACCAAAATCTTAGCATAGCTTGGCATTGATGTAGTGCATAGATATACACACACACACGCAATCAAAGAGTAGGAAAAGGAATTTGAAGACAGCAATAATTTTACACAAGATTAAGATTGAGGAACATACTTCGACTCACATTAGTAGCGTCTCCAATTTGAAATCCAAGATATTGCTCTAGGACACCATACTCAGAAATTCGAGAAGAATGGGTGGTGTTCCCTTCTGTGCCCCTGCACAAAAATTGCATAGCCGGTTGATTAATTAACAAAAATATTCCGTCCAGAAACTCAAAATTCACTAACTTCAAAAGGAAAAAATACCATTACATTACATTAAACTTCCAGATAAATCTCTAATCAAAAGAAAAAAAATAAATAAATAAAGGAAAGGAAAGGAAAACTCAGGAAATTTCTAAAATCTTGAAGCGAGGACTTCACATAAAAGTTAAATCACAAACTTAACAATGCATAATTACGTACCATCAACTCCCATAATTATATTTTGAGCCTTCTGAAATCAATTTGGGACAAGAGCTTTTTTTTTAATCATATTTTTGGGTCTATAGGCTAAAAAATTACTAACAATCAAATAAAGTTTTATCTGCCACCCTATTCTAAGTGAAATGCACAGAATTCATTATCAAGAAAGGGTAGTTTACAGGTCATATCTTCCATGTCTCAGTAACTAAAATTAATGGCTTCATGAATTCTCCATCAAATACAATAAGCAGGGTTCCTATGTCAGCATCTCCACCACCGTTTCTAGCCAACTGTAAATTTACTTTCAATTTACAATGTTTTTATTACGGTATTCGTATTTAATCTCTAATGACATAAAGGGCTCTAATGACATAAAGTGTTCAGCAATGTCATAACATTCAAGTTGAAATTAACATCCATCTTCCACAACTAAATTAATGACATACTTCCTTAGGATTAAGCCCTAAAACCTTCTTGTGAGAACAATAATAAATAGAATGAAATGAAAACAAGCAAAGCACCCATAAATTTTATAGTGATTCACCTCGATGTGATAGCAAAATTCACTCACGGCCTTAGGTTTTTTTCACTAGAAGAAAAATACAGAGTTTTGTCGAGCCTCTCTTCCACCCAGAATCAGCCTCTAAAACCCTTTATGTAGGAATTTAAAATCGACCGAATACATATACGGAATATCAAATATACTCCATCAAGCTATACAAAACCCAAGATATTTCAATATCAACAAACCTCGTAATAACATAGTAGCACTCAGCAAATGACTGCACTATAACAGTCCAGAAAAATCAAGAAGTAGTAACAGTATTTCCAAATAAGGATTCCAATAACATAATTATTATCAAATATTGGAAAATTCTTGAAGCAAGATATGAAAGGAATAAAAATTAAGTGCTATGGAGAAAATTACATGGTATTGGAAAGTGATGTCTAGAAATGAAGCTGGGCAATCAACAAGTGAGGCTTCTATTATCTTCTACACCAACCTTTACTGTTGTACTAATCCATTAGTAAACAAAACAAATCCCACGTTACAAAAAGAAAAAGAAAAAGGAAAAAAAAAATAAAAAAAATCTTCAACGTCTTTAGACCTTATTTCGGACCGAAAATACAAAGAAGAAAAAACTTTAAACCCAGTTCATAGACAAATCATACACCCAAAATCGAACTTCTGGAATGAATTAAATCACCAAAACCAGCAAACCCCATAAACCATTTTCACAGAAACCACCAAATAAAGATTCTGAAAAAATAAAAAAGAAGGACTTAAAAAGAACTAGACACAACTAAGCAAAAGCCAGATGCTGAAATTTAGTCAAACAGCATAGAAAAACAGAACTTCGAAGTTTTGGGCATAAAGATTGGATCTTTTTGACTTTTTGGGAGTTTAAAGAATGAATTGATAGAGGTGCACTCAATTTCATTGATTTCATCTAGAATTCTCCTTGCTACAGAGACTGTATAAGCACAAAATTCAAGGGACCCATTGACGTATTGAGCTTCTTTCTTTAATAGTTTTGTTGTTTGTTTAATAATTATATGTTCATATGAAGACAGAGATGTGATACTCGGATCATTTCAAGCTGGGCGTCATTTTCATCTGAAAGCATTTATTCCAAATTTCAAAGCCTCCATTTTTTTTATTGCGGTCCACACCTAACTGTGTCTAAAATTTCATCTCGTCGTCTTCTTCTAAAATTACACATCTTGAGACAACTGATTTAATTGATAAAGGTAAGGATTGGGACAAAATAACTACAATCTTATTACGTAATAATATGCTTAAGTGAGCGATAATATCACGACTTTCAAAGCAATTTTGAATTGTTGATAGTTCGCGGAGATTAATCTACAACAGTGCATTTGAATATCACTGGGGTTATATTATTAGAGGTTAGATATGCAATGATGTAGATTGATTGACAAATAACTCACAAAACTTGTCAAGATCCTATTTTTGCTGCTAAAAAAGGCTTATTGTTGAAGTTCTTGTTACCATGCCAAATTTACATTTCATAGAAGACTTTGAGCTTCATTTAACTATTATTGAAGTTCTTGGTACTACGCCCACTTTACATTTCATAAAAGATTCTAAGCTTTGTCTAATTTTAAATAAGGATGATCTATAGCTCAAGCTTCTTTCATCGAATCATTGTTGATACAATATGACCTATGTTATCTATTTGTGCAATCATATAAAAAATATATTAGTTTCGAGTGAATGAATACTTCTACTAATATTCAATGCAAAAATTTATCGTTCAATGTACTATATATAGTGATTTGATTTAAGATTTCATTCATTTCATATTTAAATAGATACTATTTTGCATTTGCTTATAGTTTAGCCTATGTTTGGGTAACATTTATACATCAATTTATAAATTAAGTTAAAATTAAATATTAATTTTAATTCATAATTATTATACATTATTATCCACGTGTTTCATGGTATTAACTATTTGTAATTATGGGGAAAGTATGTGGTTTTATAAATGTGGAGCAGTTAAAAGACTTTAGCTTTGCTTTTCCTCCGCCACCTAACACGAGTGTTGACACGTCTTCTCGATGAGTTGACAAGAAAAGAAAAGAAATAAATCATATGATGAATTTAATGCATTTTAAGTAAATTATCGGCTCCGTTTGGTTCCATTTTCTTTCTCATTTTTTTCTTTTTTCTTCTCTACCACACAATTTTTCATAAAATAATAGGATAGCTCTATTTATATCCACGCTTTTTATAAGTATATCAACTTTTAAAAATAAAATTTTACTTTATTTTAAGTTATATATAAATTTACTTAAATAGACATAAGTAATAATGAAATCCACACCCATTTGTTGAATCAATTACTTCAATTCTATCCAAATCATCAAAATTATATTCTCTTGGGCGGCAAATTATAATTGGCAGCTGGCTACTGTTCAGTTATGAGTTTTACCAACAAACCCCAGCAGTTCTTTTGTTGTTCTTCTTCATTTTCTCATTCTTCTTTTCCATTTTTTTCAAAATCAAATGATGGCTGGTGGCTGATGATTTTAAGTTGTGTTTGAACGTGGCTGTAGGGTGGTGGGTTTTGGGTTTTTGTGCGTGTGGGGTGGGGTGGGTGTTTGAGGAGGAAGAACATGTCTTGGTTTTGTCCAGTGACACGACGGGCAGCACCTTATTGTCGGAGAAGAACGGATGAGGGGGATCGGAGGGGGACCAGGTGGGGGGAGCATTGGGATTTGGGAAACTGGAATTTGTCTTTTGACATTTGTTTTTTGTTTTTTGTTTTTTTTTTAAGTTTTAATATTATTTGAAGCTTACTCATATAGAAATTTGACATGCACCTACGGATGATCCAGCAAAGTTATCATTTGTATAATTGCTTTAATGATAAAATTGCCTTCTTTGGGCCAAAAAAAAAAAAAAAAAGTAGTCTTGGATATAATGGTGAGTTTGCCAATCATAAATGCAAGAAATGATTATTGTTTGCAATCCAATTATAATTATTTTATCTCATTTTAAATATCCCTTGTTTTGTTCTTATTTCATTCATTTGTTTTGAAAGAGTTTATGGTTTTATAAATTGTATGAATCTATAGTGTTAGGAATGTATTTAAAGTAGAATGGATATATAAAATTCATGTGGATATATAATATTTAAATGAATGGATTTAATAAGGGCAAAATTGAAAATGACGTGGATGTTAATGGTATTTTTTTAAAAATTTAAAGTTTTATTAGGGATTAACTTAGCGTGGGATGTACTTATAAAAAGAGTGAATGAAAATAGCAGTACCCAAATAATATTATACGCAAATAAAAAAAATTTCATTCTTTTTTAACTACACATTTTTCAAAAATATACTATTGCAACAATTAAAATTTGAAAAAAATGGAGGCCAATGGGAGCCTAATTACATGATAAATTTGGGGATGAAAAATATCCCAACACTAAAAACGTGAAAAAAAATAAATTAAAAAAAAAAAAGCCATTGGTCCCGAACTTTTTGCACTCATAGCAAGTTGGTCCCACAATTTTTAAACAAGCAAGGAAAATCGTTCCAATCCCAATTAAGCCCCTGTTTGGTTGGATAAAAATAATTTTTTAGTAGATTTTGAAAGAAAAAATTGATGAAATATGTTGTTGAAAAATTGATAAAAATTGAGTAATCCATAAAAAAGTATGATTAAAAATGAGTTTTGAAAAATTAGAAACTAATAAGGGGCTAAATTTGTTATATGGCCCTCATAGCTCTACCTTTATGAGCTTCTCAACTGAGCCAGTCTAAAACATTTTGAAATGAGACATTTTTATAGCTAAATCAAAATTTAACAAAAGTTGGACTATTATTCGGGAACAAATAAAGATTGTGAATAACTTTCTCCTTTGAAAATGTTAACGGCCCACTTGCTACTATGATATTTAGTTGGAGACCAACGATGCAATTAGGTGTAGGTGTCTTGCGGAAATGAAAAACCAATTTTTAAGAATTTGATTTAGGTATAGACTTTTCATGCCTAATTATAGATGTCGTATCTTTTTCAAATTTGCATTTTATTCCTAGACCTTTGGCATGATTTTTCGCTTTTGCTTTCTGTAGAAGAAGTTTTGAAGAAGCTACCTTAATTTTTACTTGAAAATTAGTTTTTAAAAGAGTTTTCTATTTCGTATGTGCTTTTAGAATTTAGATGAAGTTATATTAGATTAACTTTATCTAAAAGTTCTTTCAACTAAAGAAGTATTTTCGTAAATTTGGTTAAACGGGTCCAAAAACAACTTGTAAATCCCTAAAGCTCCTTTTGACTTTCTAAAGTCATTCTAAACAGACTGTGAATAAAAAAGTTTAAGTTCTTATTTGGTAGATATTAAAATCTAAATTTCTATCAAAGTCTGTTAATTAATTCTAAATACATATTTAATTGGATCCATAACTTTTTAACCATATATTTCATCAATTTTTATAAAAAAAATCTGTTAAAATTTTGATTTTTTAATTTCCGCCAAAAAGGGACTAAACATGCAAAAGTCAATCTTGTTGGAATATAAATATCATTGAGAAGGTATAGTCAAAGGAGGCAGCAACAGTAGGTTCAAATTCAGCATTTTCAATTGCAAATCAAGTCCACAGTTTGGTACCCCTAGTTTTTAAATGCAATTTTTGTCATTGCATAGATTAGAAATAATGGTGATGAGCACATATTTAGGGTTGGTTTGATTGGACTAAATTCCATGGAAAATATCACATTCAAAAAATTCATTTTCTATTTTGACTATTTGATACGAAAGTGGAAATAAAATTCAAATTCCAAAGTACCAACACTTTAAGCATATTTTTTTGGTCAATTCCATGGAAAATGTCTTCCTATGGTTTTGGTGATTTTTTCTTTTCCAACTTATATGGAATTGGTTTGCATTTTCCACTTTTACAATTAAACAGACCCTTAGTCTAAGGTGTATGAGAAATTTTTTGGAAAAAAAAAATTTGTAGAAAGTATGTGATTAAAAAGTAGAAAATGGTACAATTTTTTTTTATTTTTTTTTAAGAATATATTGTTGAAAATGAATTTGGGAAACTGTGATTTTAAAAAAATAAATTCCACAAAATCACTTAGCATCAAATTAGATTAAAGAAAAGAGACATGTAATAGTCGCTGCGATGTCAAATATATCTATACAAGCAAGGACCATGCTAGAAGTACAAAATACGATACAAAATTGTTTACAAAATTCACAAGTGGTGCCTCCCTATTGGAGGGGCAGCTGGCAGCAACTATTACATAACTGTCGCCCCTCCAATAGGGGATGCCACTTGTGGATTTTGTCAACTATTTTGTACATGATTTTGTACTTCTAGCATGATCCTTGCTTGTATAGATATATTTGACGTTGCAGCAACTATTACATCTCTCTTTTCTTTAATCTAATTTGATGCTAAGTGATTGTGTGGAATTGACCCCTCCAATAGGGGGGCGCCACTTGTGGATTTTGTCAACCATTTTGTATATGATTTTGTACAAGAAGAATAATCCTACAAGCAAAGCTACATATGAAATCCATTGGATAAAGAAGACTTTCAACTGTCTACTACAATGAAAGGAGTGATTGATGTAGAAGAAAAAAATTGTTTATGTTCAAGAAAAGTCTTTTCTAGTTCTGTTTAATTCATTTACTTCAATGTTAGTTCTGAATGGTGTGTAACATCATCTTCAACCAACTTCATTTGACTTAACTATTAAGTATGAAGATTGAATATTGTATAAATTCTATCCCAAATAATCATGTAATGTAAAATCTCTAAGAAATTTCTTGATAAGAAATTCGATCGTTCATAGTTTGAAAGTTTTGAAATAAGTTTCCATCATCCTTCTGATTTTACACCTTCGCTCAAAATTATCTCAAGCCAAGTGCCAAGTCAAAGCATTAACGACTAATAGGGGTGAACACGATTTGATTTTGACAATTTGTGAAATTTTCAAACCAACCACTTAATGAGTTGAAATTTTTTCGAACCAAATCACTTTCTTGGTTTAATTCGATTTAAAATCGTGGTTTAATAAATAAAAAATAACATATATCAAACAAGTTAAATCATAATTATTAGTTTAAAGTTCCATGTTAAAATATAAATAGTATCATTACAAATATACCAACCAAAGTTCTAGACTTCTAACGATTACAATACAATGCGAAAGAAAATATTTTAATTTGAATGTCTTAATCGATATTAATTGGCGCAACATATGAAGTTGTAAGTTGTAACACATGATCCATTATCTACCATAAAGATAAGAGTATAGAAAAAGTATTTACTAATTATGTTTAAATGATATAAAACAACTAATAAAAGAAAATGAATAGAAAGATCAAATGCAATAATACATTTTACATCTTTATGTAAATCATTTAGAACTTTTACGTCATCTAAACATTAACGAACCACTATAGATTCCTTGTTACCATACAAACAATTTTTTTTTTTTTTAGCAAATCACCACCTCAACCATCTTTGCACTGAATGGGTTCCTAAAGGAATTCAGAATTCGATCACCGGTAAGAAATGCAGATTCATAAGTAATTGTAGATATTTAAATAACTAACACAATTTTGACAATTTGTGAGGATAACCTCATACTTATTTGCATTCAATTTCCGCAAATTAATATCTCAAATGCTTATTGGTCAATATTTACAGTGACTATTTAAGTAATTCACTAAATTATTCTAGCAATTTACACTAAAATCTGGCAACTAAGTTAAAATATAAATAATTAAATAAGTGATCAGATCAAGAAATTGAGACGCAAACAAACCAAAATACCATTATTCAGCTAAAAATTTAAAGGAGCTCAAAACAAAGGGACACAACTACGAATAAAATATAGCTAATCACAACCAACAAAATAAGAGAAATTGAATAAATTGACTTGAAATTTTAGGCTGAAAAATTACTAGTAGAAGGAAAAGAAATAATGTGAGTTTGAATTATAAATTATATTTGATTGTCTATTCAACTGTGATGGGCGGCTGATGAATATGGTTCAATTGTAGTCGTTCAACACTTGAGCCAATTTGAGAGTTTTGCATTCCCAATTATGATGGCTTATGGGTATTTATATAGTTTAATTAATTAATTGGAATGGATTATTGTTCAATTGAATATTGTGTTTAATCGGGTTGGATTTGAAACATAAACCAAACTACTACAAAACAATTTAGTTCGATTTAAAACCAAAACGTTGATGAATCCACTCGAATCAAACCCAAAGGTTTCAAAAAATAGTTTGGTTCGGTTTTGCGATTTGATGACTTTATTGTTCCACCCTAATTGCTAATTTAGAAAAATCCAGTTCTCAAAATGCCATGACCATGCTCTTGTGATGGCAAATGCTACATTTCTAGTTTTATTCAAATATGACCAACTCTTTCAGCTCATGTAGTAAGGTTAAATATATCATCAAGTACTACGTACTAAATGTCTCATTGAGGCATAAGATCAACAGGCTGCATAAAAATCATTCTTCTCAACATCCCTTGTTCAAGGGGATCATTGATGAATGAATTCCAAGTTTCCAGCATAATAAAAATATCACATTACTATCCACTTAATCAACCAAAAGATAAACTCAGAACCAAACAATACACTTAAGTTTTATTCAAATTCTAGATGGTATGTTGTTACAGATATAAAGTTACCCGTATAATACAATAAGATCGGAAAATTTTAAAATTTAGAAAACAATAACAAGAATGGAATTAGTCTTATATGCCAAGATAAATGTAAAAGGTACATGCATGTGCATAATAATTTAACCTTGCTATTGTAGCTCATTAACTTTAATCTCATATTGCTCGCCCGATGAAAGAATTTTGACTCGAACCATACCCTTCTGCCACTCCGCGCTACCCACTAATATCAGCCTGCAAGCATTTATTCGTGCTGCCCTTTTAAACACCCTGAAGATTATAAACCATTAAAAAAAAAGGGTAAATGCTCATATTTTGGTATGGTACAAGAAACAAAGGACATGGAACACAAGATATTGTGACTTTTTAAAAAAATTAACTTTTCGACGGGTATCATGAAATCTCAAATCTCATACCATTTGAGGGGTTTATTTTCCAGAACCAAGTCAACACTTTGTCCCTTTTCCCTGAGTTTAGCAGCAACTGCAGAAGCTGCACCCTGGAGATCCTGATCCAATGAGCAGACAATGTTCTCTACCTGGGGACCAAGTTCCGGTAGAAGTCCTCTCTCTTTGAGAAGCTGCATAATCACCGAACAGAGTAAAGTAGCAAAAACAATTGAACAAGAATATTTACTGTCTAACATGGTTGGAGCAGTTATATTCGAATTTTATATACTATGATGATCCTGGAGTTCATCACAGTTAAATCACTTCCATTCACTTAGGTTGGCATTCTGAAAATATTGCTTTTGGCAGATGGAATTAAAGCAACGTTCCATAGAGTAGCAGTAACAGTGTGGATCGTGCGAGAAATATACACATTTATTGTTTATGTGATACATTATCAAATTCATGAGAACATATAAAATGTTACTGCATAGAGCAAGCTGAGTAGATCAGTAACTCGAATTAGTTTTAGGAAAAAATATAATTTATTCTATCAACTCCAAATGATTGACAACTGTTTACATAATATACATTATTCACAATCGATAAAAAATATAAGCAAGTAAATTATGTATATATTTCCCGATTTTGCTCACTTCCAACTCATTCAATTTTATCATCAAATATTTGATTAAATTCAGTGCCTAACCAAACAGTCTTGGCAGAAAAAATTTCAGCATTCACTATGTTCAGTACGTAAAAGTAATCAATCTTTATTTTTCAATTTAAAAAAAAAATGAAAAGAAAAAGGAAGAACTTTTAAGCAAACACCCAAGCCGAAAATTTAAGAGAAACTCGACTCACTTCTACTATAACTGCATCACCAAATCCAAAGCCACAGGCTGGAATATCATCGCCTCCAAAAGTCGAAAGTAACCTGTCATATCGCCCACCTCCACAAATGGCTCGTAGTTTTCCTTCTCGATCAAATCCCTGAAGAAGGAAATAAAATAAGATAATGAGACAGAGAATAACCTACTTATATGAGAATGATTGTAGCCAGCCAGAAACAGGTTGAGTGAAAATGTGATAGAAACCTGACTATTGAAGCAAATCAATGATAAACTGAATGTTATATTGATATTCAACAGAAATAAAATGACAATTTCCAAGGCATTCGAGAGGCCTGGACTCTCCCAATTTTCCCACTATTTTCCTGGATGAATTCTCCCCCCAGCCCCCCATGATATTTATAGATTCTTATCATATCTCTATTCCCCATTTTACCCCTTTGCTAACTAATTAGTGGAACACTCTAGAATTTGAATTAACAACTTGTATGATTGAATCATATTGGAGTTGGGATGCTATCATTACTCGCCCCTGAAAATCCACCTTGTCCTCAAGGTGGAAGTTGTTGCGGTTTGTTAAATTCTTCATGCAACCACACACTTCCTCTTGCACGTACTCCTACCATGGTCACCATAGAGAAGGGACATTTTAGCCTTTCGAAGTGAACAGACTTATTTTGTCAAGCAATTAGCACAAGTATAATATCCAAGGCAACTCCGTAACCAGTTGCACCTACCCACATAATCATATTTGAAGGTTTTCCTTTACTAAAATTTGAGTTCCCGTACTTCCAACTTGCCGATTTGTTTTCTGATTTTTTAAAAGAACTTTCTCTCTCCTCATGCTTCTTTGACTCAGGAGTTTCATCGAACACAACAGATTCATCGAGAATGGGTCCACTAAATTCATCCCACCACAAGTCTGAATGCTCTCTACGTAGTACTCTACCTCGATTGTTCACCCATGAAGATATGTCAGTAAAATTAGTATTGCCAACGTTGGGGTAATTGGGGTAATGCTCCCTGAACCTAGGCTCCTTTATCTTTCCCACAATTTCATTTTTCCAGTGATGAGATTCCGTCAGCAGAGATTGTTTTTTTGTAATACTTGCAGAAAAATTGGTTGGTTCTCTCTTACCAATGAAACCATCCTCCATTTGTATTACTCTTTTACTCGTATCTTCTTGAAGCATAAGACCTTTGCTGGTTTGGAGGTTCCCTTCGGAGTACTTAATGCGACGAACCCAGTTCTCTGCATATTTACGTGACGGGTCTTCTCCAGAAGCTTCAGACGGGACCTTACCCTGTCCGCCATCTGTCTGTATAAGCCTGGTATTTAATGCATTTTTTATTGGGCTTACTTCTCCTTGGGTTTGTTTCAATTGTAACTTGTCTTCTACAAACTGGGCCAAAACCAAGCCCACATGTTTTTCTTTATGAATTTCAGCCCTAGTTTCAAGCCCAGTGACATAATTCTGTATCGTTGTCTTCATCTTCTCCTCTTTCGGCCCATTCCGATATACTCCTCCTTTCACAGCATACTCCGACTTCTTCTCCAGTTCCGGCGATGGTGATGGTAAGAACTCAATTGACCAACAATCTTCTGCAGTCACCTTACGTCGATCCCGGCTGCCTTCATTTACCCAGATCTCGTCAGATTGAGGTGGCAATACAAATGCGTGGGTGGTTTCCAGTGAAGTAGCTACCGGTCCATTTCCCTTCCTTTCACATTCCGCCTCCAGTACCGGCGGTCCTTTCTCTAGCTTTCCATTTTCTGTCTTCCATTTCAGCCCATCACACTTCTTCCACGATGAAAATTCTTCACCAACAGAGACCGTGCTAAATCGATCCAACATTAATTTTTTTAATTCTCCCCAACTTTGCACGGGTCGTCGTCGATCTAGCCATTGGAACCACTCCCAAGCTTCACCATCCCAACACGCCGTTGCAGCTTCCACTTTTTCCTTTTACGACAATCGATTTCTTTTGAAAATTTCCTCTGCTTTCCCTATCCACCAATCTGGACTGCCATCATAGAATATCGATATCTTGAGTCGGCCAAGCGAATCCAATCCAGAATCAAGTACTTGGTCATCTGTCTGTAGCATCATTAGTTGTTCGAATCGGTTGAATATGGAGCTCCATTTCTCCTCCAATTCCTTGCTGAAATTTGTTTCCATCCTCCCAAGAATCGAGTGCTCTGATACCAATTGATAGAAACCTGACTATTGAAGCAAATCAATGATAAACTGAATGTTATATTGATATTCAACAGAAATAAAATGACAATTTCCAAGGCATTCAAGAGGCCTGGACTCTCCCAATTTTCCCACTATTTTCCTGGATGAATTCTCCCCCCAGCCCCCCATGATATTTATAGATTCTTATCATATCTCTATTCCCCATTTTACCCCTTTGCTAACTAATTAGTAAAACACTCTAGAATTTGAATTAACAACTTGTATGATTGAATCATATTGGAGTTGAGATGCTATCAAAATGCTATGCTGATAAATTTATTATCCAATTTCTTTGTTAAATCATAAGTGTAGGCTAGGAGTGCGCATAGTCTGGTGACTGGTACCGGACCAAATCGGGAACCAAACAGTTTTACGGCTAGAGATGGAACTGAATCAGATCAGGACCGACCAGTTCTGGTTAGGTAGGGCATGGTTCTTTTCTTTTCTACTGAAAGTAAATGTATATGAAAGTTCCTCTCTAATACAGCATGTCTCTGATTACGTCTAGTTGACGTGGCAAGAGAAAAGTAGACATGGAGTAAGTCACCATAATTCAATCTCCCCCCCCCCCCCCCCCCCCCCCCCCCCCTCTTTTTTTTTCTCCCTCTTTTTTTTTTTCTTACTTCTACACATGTTTGGTCTATTGCATAAGTGTATGGTAATGATAAATGACAAGTGGGTTGATTATAGGGTAATAAGTGGC